ATTCCTGCAGAGCAGCCAGACAGGAAGTGGAATTCCCCTCCATAATGACAAGAGCTGTGTGTGTGCGTGTGTGTTTGTGTGTGTGTGTGTGAACACACTGGGTTGGTTGTGTGTAGACAATGGTCAGTCTCTGCACAGCTGTTAATATAGTGTTTCCATGGAGATGTGCAGGACAACAGTACTGCAGAGCAGGGACTTCAGAGTGTGAGGCTCTGGGAAGAGAGTTGTGAATGTGTTGCAACAGTCGGGTCGTGTCACTGCCTGGGGTTTATATGCAAACAGGTTTATACAGGCAGCAGACTCAAAGGTGAATTCAGATTTATAGGAGTAACGGACAGAGGGGGAGGAGCCTAATCTGTCATCAGTACAGTTGACAGCAGCCACAATTAAAGTGTTCACGTAATAATACACACGTATATCAAACCTTTGGTTCTCCAGCCTTGGGGTGAAATTCAAACATCATCTTTGAATGAACTGAAGTGTAACCTTCACTCTCTGACTGTGGACAAAACAGCAGCATTCACTTTGATTTGGTGATGAAACATCATCTGTTCTGTATTGTTTCTTCTCCACCTGCCTGGATGCTGGGGGGTGGTCAGGGTTGGGGAGTGTGGTGGACATTAGACCGTCTGTCTTCACCGTGACAGATGTGGATCAGTCTCTGAGCAGCTGTGACGTGTGTTAACCATGAAGTGTTAGATTTGTGTACATCTTACACACACACACACACACACACAAACTGTAGCTTTATTACCTGCTTTATCTGTCATCCAGAAATCAGATTCTCCACTTTTAAATTTTTTTAATTAAGTTTAATGCTTTCCGATCATTATTTTAAAATAACTTTAGAGAAACTCTCCAACAATCTACTTTAGCCCCTCCCCTGCTGAAAGATACAACAGTCTCTTCCAGTGAGATCTGAATGACAGTCCGGAGCCAGTGATAGTTCTGGTCACTGACCACTGGGTCAGGTCTGTCTAACACAGTAGTCTGAGCCTGCTATTTTCCCATGGTTTGTCGCTATTACCCTCAGCCGTTCTTGGCAAATGTAGAACAAGGAGCGGGTGAAATACAGCCGCTGAGCCGAGTGCAGCAACAAGAGGAAACATTCCTCCTGAGGGAAGGGAAAGCTGAAGTTTGGCTGATTGTCTACGTCCATAACGTCATCTCAGAACACTTATTTAACGTTAACCAACAGGCTTTGAGTGAACGTCACCTCAGATCAGGTCGTCTTTGGAGCTAACAGAGAGTCCATGTTTAAATTAAAACACTGATACAGACCAGGCTTCATTTGGTATTTTTGGAGTGGGTGACTGTGAATGTGTGTGTATTGTGACAGGCGTGTGTGTGTGTATATTCCCGTCGTCCGTCAGTGTGAAGCAGTACTTCCTCTGACAGAATGGCACATTTCACAGTGTGAATACTTGTCTGTGAGGGAGACATAGCATCGTGGTGATCTCATCGGGTTCGTGGCAGATATGGGATCTGAATGATACTGTAGGGTCTTTGTACACCTGCGGGCGAGTCGAGTCGAGTCGAGTCAAGTCCTCTGTACCGTCAGTGACCTAAAAATGAACAGAGTAGGAGATGAACAATGACTGCAAGGACAGAGGTCTGTCTAAAATGTGGTGACTTTTCTGACCTTTGACCTAAGGGCATATTGGGAAATGCCCCCATGCACTTGATGCATGATTTAAATCATGTCTACTTTTGCCCATATTTGACCTCCGACCAAGAACTCGGTCGACAGAATCCCCCCTGAAGAGTTCCTGGTTCCATCACAGCACTGATCTGGCACCGGGACTAAAACCTCACACAAAAGACTGGGGAAATGAGTGTGAAGGAGGAGCAGGAGCAGGAGGAGGAGCAGGAGGGAGCTTTGTTTTATAAGAGACATTAGGGTTGAATTATTTTTCAGTTAAATGTGTTTTAGTTTCAGACTCTGAGCGCACTTCCCACAGAGTAACGTTCTGTTATTGTTTCATTCTTTTCTTTTCTGTTTGGTTTGGAAGTTTCAGATATGAAGCTAATGATCTGTGGGTGTCGACAGTTCAGTCCTTCAGAGACACCGTTAATGCCTGAACAGGTTAATGGGAGATTACTACCTCACTTTGGAATTTTCCCAGTTGCCTCAGTGGTCTTGGCTTGGAACCAATTTTTCTCCCAGTAGCAGCCTCGTTACTGTGTTCTAATTAGAACCAGTGACGATGCACGTTGACTACTGGAATCATTTTTTAAAAATTTATGTTTTTACACATTTGTTATAAAAAAATTCTGGCAAAATAAATAGTTTTATTTTAAACCTACATCAGGATGAATTTCCAGTAAGACCTGAAGTGTAGACAACGAACTGTCACCAAACCAATAGTTTTCTTGTCTCTGTGTTGGAGCTCGTTACACTATCACTGACTGTAGTTTAATGATCACCTGCAGCATCTTCCATTCTGCAGTAAAATCTTTGAGCATCCTTTAATCTTAAAGTAGTAATTCTTTTGTTTTGTTTTTTTTTTTACGTTAAAAATTGACTTTTCATTTTTCACTGGTGAAGGTGAGAAACTGGGCACTGAAATAATGCTGGCTCTATAATATTGTGATGCCTTTAAAACACTGTTGTGCAGCTCGACACTCAACTGTATCTGGTGGAGGATCTGAACGTTACATTGGAAATGGAGGTCACTGGGACAATACTGTAAAAGTTGAAGTGGTCTCAGTTGACAGGAAGAGGAAACAGAAGGCTGGAGGTGATGGGTGTTGTCGTTATCAGAGGAAGGAAGCATTCCGTACGGGGAGCATGTGGCCATCGCTGGGTAGGTGTTCAGTCCATTTACTAATGCTGGACAGGAAGTCAGGTCTGTCGGCTCCATGTAGAACCAGATCAGAATCACTCTCTAAAGATCTCTGAAGATAAGAGTCTGACCTCTAACCTGCTGCTGTCATCTGTGGATTACTTTATCAACATCAAAGTCCTGTAAAAAAAGATGTATTTCTGGGTCATTTTTTCACCTCAACATTTTGGTGGTTCACTCTCGACACTACAGTCTGCATCAGCAATGATCTCTGATATGATGACTGTGAGTCGCACAGGTTTCTGTCACATGTCAATAAAAGTAAACAAGCTAACTTGAACTGTCCTACTAATGAACTTGGTCAATCTGTGTTTACGGGGGGGGGGGGGGGGGGGGGATTAGTAGGGGACTACTGGTCGGTAAAGTTAATCAGTGGGGGGGAGGACTCAGGCTGGTGAGACAAGACAATGTTGGCACAGCTTTCTCTTTCATTAAAGCCCTGGTACCACCTGCCTTAGCCCCCCACCCACCCCCCACCTCTGCTCAGTGGGCTGCGGTGGACCGTGTGGTTTCTGACCTGGAGACACGACATCATCCTCCTCCTCTGTGAGTCAGCTGGTTCTTTAGTCCCAGCTGCGGTGACTCTGATGCTGGTACGTATTTAGATAGGTTTGACTCACATGATATAAAGACAACAGTCACACCCCTCCAGGGACTCTCCTGCTGTACCCAGAATTCCTGGGCTCATATTCCTAAGCTACTGGTTCAAAGAGAGACTTTTGGACACCTCAAGGTTTTCAACCTCCCTTGGCCTTTCATGTCAGATCAGGTTGGGAAAGAGCTCCACTGTATATCCATCAGGTCCAAAGACAATAAGAAAAGACGGACTTCCAGGAAAACCCCTGCTGCTTTCATGAGATACTGATCTCTGTGAGGTCAGAGTCCGTACAGAACTTTGAGGTTTGAGGTTGACGTAGAAGTATTTTTTTCTCAGGGATTTACCTTTAATCCATACCTGTTGTTGTCCAAGTTCTTACTGCAGTCACGTTGGACTTCCAAACCCCTGAGAGGCGCTGTGGGCTCTGTTGTTACAGATTAGACAGTGTTGTTGTTTCTCTGGTCCTCAACACATCTGAAGGTTCACAGCTTCAATGGTTACAGTCAGAAGAAACAGGCGGCTGTCTCTGTGGCGATGCATGTGGGGCGTGGCTTATCAACCCAAGGTAACATGGTAAATTATTAACAGTAAATTATTTTGGCTTTTCATCATTCAGTATATCCATGGGTCAGTGAGGACATTTGTCTCTGAGTTTTTATCTTTGGTTAAGATGACTGATCAGCCAGACCTGAGCTCTACAGACTGTGTATCTGTGTGTGATTGTCAGCGTCTGTGTTTTTGTCTGTGCTTGTTCGAGGTTTTGTTTGTTCAACCTCGGTGCCGGTGTGATTGTAAGCAACATGTCCCATCATGCTGTGCTGCACGAGTCTGACCCGAGGCAACAAGTCATCCACGTGGAACCTGAAACGGTCTCAACTTGTCTCCACCGTCTTCACCCGCTCTCTCCGCTCCCTGCTGACTTTGAATAAATCTTTTAATTAGTGAATTTGCTGAATAGTTTGAAGCGTCGTTGTTGACGTGATGCTCAGACAGGGTTCGATGTTTCAGTGGCTTCAGTGAAATCCTCTGGATGACAGAGTGACTCAGTGCACAGTTAGTTGAAGCTCATTAACCTCCACTGGGAGGAAGAATGTGAAGGAATAAAGAACGCAAGTTAGCCATTAGCCCACATGTGTGTTTACACAGCAAGCCTTTCCCAGGTGCTATACGATCCCTGGGATTACAGCAGAATGGGCTCGGGACACACACACACACACATCCCCGCCTCCCCCAAAAGAGAGGAGGGCAGACAGCGGGGGAGAGGAGGCGGGAGGCAGAGATAACAGATCAGAGGGAAGAAGGAAAAAGGTAAAGAGTGTGTGTGAGTGTGTGCGTGAGTGTGGAGCAGTAGGAAGTCAGACTGACTCCAGGACAGAGGATCTTCTGGACCCACTCTGGACCTGGACCCCCTCCTGAACCACTTGTTAATCTATGACTGAGCTTTAGTTCAGTAGGAGATGGTGGGACTGTCGTCCACGGCCGTGGAGGGTGAGTGTGAAAAACATTTGACAGAAGTTCACTTTATCACCAGAGGTCAGTGAAGTGAAGAAGGACTGAGGAGACACTGGCACAAACACCTCAGGTCATGTTAGAGTCAAACTGTAACTAAAATTAAGAAGTTCTTATTTTGCAGCACAGACGTTGTTCTGTGATGTTGACAGTATTTCACGCCCGTACAAACTTTTCTCTTTTCACATTCTGTGGTCGGCTGGAATGACTGCCTGCAACAATATTGTGAAACATCGTTGTTACAGAATGATTGGATTTTGTGACTTTCAACATGCTGCAGAAATGTGTGTCAGCAGTGAGTCGGCTGTGGAGGGGAGGCACAGGGGAGAGCTGTAGGCAGAGGGTGAGGACGGATCAACGCACCCTGATTGAGATCACATTTATTATCTTGGTTTCATGGTTGGTGGGACATGTTAGCACAGATGCACAGCTCACCTATAATCACATCATTTATCCACCTGACCCCCCCTTGCCTCCCCCCTCCTCAGCCTCTGTCATGTAAGAGGTTTCTTTAAAAAGTCTGACTCTGCACCGTTGAGCCCGGTCCACTGTGTGATCACATGTTCACACACCAGTGCACTGAACAGAGGCTTGAACCATCAACAGGGTGAGGAATGTGTGCCGAGTTTAACAGCTATTGTCAGTGAAGTGTGAGGAGGGAAACGTTTGTCTGGAGTCAGTAGAAAACCTGGCATTATGTTCTGGGTGAAGGTAACGAAGCAAACATTTTCAAGTCACTAATCTTTCTTGTAGCAGAAACGGTAGGGATAGTATACTGTAGTATACTACTGTATACTTACCCTACTGTATTATACTACTGTATAATACTAAGAAAATATCCATACACTGAAATATCCTGAAAACCCCTGAAATTTCCTGATCCCTTATCAATCTCCTCATCCAATATTCCTGGTGTTGGTTCATTTTCTTTTTTTGCTTCTCTAGTGATTCCAAATGTAGATCCGTCTGTTCCTGGTCAGAAGGTTGGACTGGTCAGGGTGGAGGGTGGTCTTGGCACCCTCACCGTGCAGCCCAGCCTCTCAGTGTTTTGTCCTGCTGCGTCTGCCACACTTGAACGTACCACTTCAGTCCAACACTTGATCTAATGCTAACTGACATAAATCTTTCTCAGCTGTGAATGAATCATCCTGTGGACCAGGTTCAGCCCCTAGAAGAGGGGAAGCCCAGTGCTGTCCTCCAGCTGAAACATCTGGCACAGCCACCGAGACGTCTTTATTTCCTTGAAACACACTCCTGACGTCTGCAGCGGGCCGGGCCTCCTCAGGACACTCTCACACTTGGTTTTTCTTTTGTTAGAGGTCACCATGAGCACCGGTTTTTAACACAGTTTTTACTCTGAATCTTTTTTCTGGCTCAGTTGTGTAAATCACGGCCAGTAATGGGAATCAAACCTGGAGCTACTGCTTCAGGCTAAAGTTTACGTTCCCTTGTTTGTCATTTCCTCTTTGTGGAACTCATTTACCTTTTCAGTTACAATAGAAGGAAACTGCTCTTTATGAAGAGACAGAGTAGTCACACACACACACACACACACATGCTGTTGCTCAGTGCTGTGTGAGTCCATACAAAGACCCAACCTCCAGAAAGTATGTCTGGCTTCAAGGAGTGGGAACAACATGAAACATGAGCACACATCAGAGTCATGACAGCTATGAAGATGAAGGATGACATGAAGAAGATCACAGTGTCATTGATCATCTGACAGACAGAATCAGTCCACCTGGAGCACATGCATTCAAGATGGAAACAAGAAACATGTTGTTCTTGGCTCTCGACCCACGTTGACCAGTGAAGACAGACGTCTGAGGAGACAAACTGAGACCCTGGGCCGAGGGCTGTCTGATAAAAGACATGAAGCAGAACCAGGTTTCAGATTCTTCTCTCACTGCTGTCGGAGACCAGCGTTTATTTGAGTTTTGTTCTAAAAACAGGGAGTAGATCCACTCCCTTCTCTCAAGTCAACACATGATATGAAGGATTGCTGGAGGTCTAGGGTGTGGGAGTGGAGGGGGAGGGGGGAAGACGGGGGGTCTGAAGCAGGTCATGCTGTTGTTGTCCAGGACTGTTGAACAGTTTGATAAAGATCAGGTTCTTGGTGAAATAAACTTTTCACCTAGTTCACAGACGCCTCGGGTTCTTCCGTTGTTCTTGTCATGTTCCACTTGGTTTTTCTGGGATTAGACGTTTATATATATTTGTTTCCACCTTTAAACACAAACACAAGCCAAAGAGGAACATTAACATTTATACACTCCATACTTTAGACTTTTATTTTAAGGCAACCATACCATTGTTAGCTTGTTTAGCTATAGTGGCCCACATAAAATGATGTGGTGGGCCAGATTCAGCCCACGGGCCCTGGATTTGACTTATGTGATGTAAAGGTTTGAGTCTTAACTGTGTAAATGAGCGACAGTTCTCGTTCAAAGAATCGAAGAAACACCTGAGGCATAAACAAACAACGGAAAGAATAGAATAAAAATGTGACAGAGATGTTTGTACCAGACAGAACTGGTACTGAACAGGTAGAAGATGAATGAATGGACCAGGCCACGCCTCTAAAACTAAAGACCAGGACTCACTTTAACCTAGGTCAAAAAGTTGTCCACACACAAAGGTCAAATCCAGGTGTGTCATCGTGTGTGGTGTGTGCAGCGACAGACAGGAGAAGAGTGGAAACAGATTGTGACAAAACATCAAGTTAACACTGACATGGTGTGAAGCAAAGTGACAGAAAATAAAAGAGGAACAAAGACCAGAAGAGCCTTGTCCACATCGCCCTGGGGGGGTGTTTGGACCTGTCAGCATGACCTCTGCCCTCTCTGCTGATAAACTGACCCTGTGGCCCTCTAACCTTTGACCCTGTCTTGTCCAGCTATGGAGGTGTTGGTGAGTGAGCTGGGAGTTTTGCTGAAGATGCTGGACCAGGAGAACCTCAGCTCCTCCACCCAGGAGAAGAAGAGGTTGGTGTGGAACCTCCTGCAGCAGATGGAACCGTTAGGTAAGAGAACCGATCATGTGACTGCTGTTTGTCTGACCTCAGACACCTGTGACTCCTCCCCCTCTGCCTCCCTTCAGTTCCAGGCAGAGACTTCATCTACATGAACACAGCAGTCTACACCAACGGCACCAGCTTTGTGGAGTCTCTCTTTGAGACCTTTGGTAAGTTTGACCTCAGATGAGGTGATGATAAGTTTACACTTCAGTAAACGGGCTGCTCTGTTTCTACAGACTGTAAACTGGGAGACCTGAATGACGTGGTCAACGACATCAAGGAGGACACAAACAACCAAACCCAACAGGCAGGCTGCCAATACTTCCTCCCCCCCCATCCCCCCCACTCCATAAATCTCATCATATGAAATTTTGGCTGTAAATATCATGGGAGTGATGACACAGTGTGTGTGTGTCCAGCTTTCCTTTGGAGCATCTCACTCTTTATAATGACTTCTGCAGAAAGAGCAGAGGGTGGGGGGGGGGGGGTTTCCATAATCACAGCCCCATAATTTAAAGGATCATTTGATACGTAATATGAAAGCACCCCCACCAACATCCATGTCTGATTTATCATTTTATATTTACGAGCTTCATTCGAGGCCTGTACTCAACGTCTCTTTGATGAAGGTTTTTTTTTTTTTTTTTTTTGGTGTTAAGTACAAAAAAAAAT